CGCTTTTCCCAGCCTCTGGGTCCGGGGCACTGGGGAGAGGCTCAGGGATGCTAACTACGGGTCGGAGGCAGGAGTGTCCTCAGAAGGCCGTGTTCTCCGCGTGGGCCCGCGGGCCGAAGAGCTGCTCAGCCACCACCTTGCCGTCGTACTTGGGCAGGGAGCCCCCAAAGTCGGTGGGCAGGATGTCCTTGTCGACCTCCTGGAAGAAGCCGGAGAGGTCATCTCCGTGGACAAAGACCTGCAGGAAAGCAGAGATAGAACTGATCTGGGGGGCCCTAGGATGCCCTCATCAAAAGTCACCGAACAGCCATGGCCGGTGTGGCTCAGTGGATAGAGCGTCGGCCTGTGGACTGAAGGGTCCCAGGTTCGATTCCGGTCAAGGGCACATGCCCAGGTTGTGGACTCGATCTCCAGAAGGGGACATGCAGGAGGCAGCCGATCAATGAATCGCTCTCATCATTGATGTTTCTCTCTCTCCCTCCCCTTGAACCGTGCTGGGAAGGAGTCCTGCGGGGACAGGGAGCACCCCAATGGCCTCAGAGGTCCCCGCTTACTCCCCCACTCCCTCTCCCTCCCCAAGGCACAGGGACAGCCCCCTGAAGGTTCCAGCCCCAGGCCACCAACTGGGGAGCCCTGGCTTCACCCCTCCCCCCCCCAGAGAGGAAGCCCCAGAGGCCATGCAGCCCAGCCCTCTCCCCGATGCTGCATGAAACCTCCGGCTTCGATGGCGTGAAGAAATGAAATGGTAGCCTCGCTGGGTTTGTAGGGGACCGAGCTTTTCAAACCCATTTGTCTGCTGAGTGACTGCAAACTATCATAGACCACAGGGACACCTCTGCATGCTCACTGTCGCCCACCCATCCCCGCCTTCCTTCCCCAGGTGCATGGACAGCTGACTTAAGATGAGCTCTAAGGAAGGACTCATGGCCCCGCCAGCGGGGCTCAGTGGTTGAGCGTCAACCTATGAACCTGCCCGCAACCCAGGCACATGCCCTTGACCGGAATCGAACCTGGGACCTTTCAGTCCACAGGCCGACGCTCTATCCACTGAGCCAAACCGGTTTCGGCAGGGACCGGGCTTTTCAAACCCACTTGCCTGCTGAGTGACTGCAAACTATCACAGACCACAGGGACACCTCTGTCGTGCTCACTGTCCCCCACCCATCCCCGCCTTCCTTCCCCAGGTACACGGACAGCTGACTTAAGATGAGCTCTAAGGAAGGACTCATGGCCCTGCCAGCGGGGCTCAGTGGTTGAGCGTCAACCTATGAACCAGGAGGTCACCGTTTGATTCACGGTCAGGGCACATGCCTGGTTGCGGGCTCGATTCCCAGTGCAGGGCGTGCAGGAGGCAGCTGATCGATGATTCTCTCTCATCATTAATGCTTCTATCTCTCTCTCCTTCTCCCTTCATCTCTGAAATCAATGAAAATATACATTTTGAAAAAGAATAAAGTTCAAATTGTTATTGGGAATTCTATGATGACTAGCACCAAGCTTCTTAGTTTAGAAAGAAAAACTAAAATGGAATGTTTTAGTATCAATTGCTCAGTCCTGTAAGCACGTGACCCCGGTTTGAGAACCCCTGGGATGGAGAGATGCACCTGATGACGGCCAAGGGCACAGACCTCGGTTGCAGGCTCCTCCTCGGCCCGGGCCCTGGTCTGGGCTCGTGCAGGAGGCAACCTATCGATGTGTCTCTCATCAATGTTTCTCTCGGTCTCTCCCTCTCTCTTCCACGCGCTCTCCAAGAATCAATGGAAAATATCCTCAGATGAGGATTAAAAAAATATAGAAGAATGGATAAAGACTTCCCAAGATAGGCACTGTGAAGAGACTGGGTGTGTTTTTATTTTCTAAGCATATAAAAGAACACATACATACACACACACTCATACACACACTCTCCAAAAAAAATGTAATCATCACA